GTTTACATCTCTAAAGGAGTTAGATCCTTATATCTCTGTTTCGATGTAATATTTCTGGCTTGAACAGATTTGATTTGTTTGCAAGCCATAAAACACAAAGTCTGGTCAATCAATGTACAATCTAATGTCTTGCCAACCCCAAGAAGACTGTACTTTTCTTACACAAATTATGTGTATTTAATCTAATTGAGGACAATAACTTGATATTTTTTGAATATGCAAATGAGTTATAGGAGCTATAAATTTCTTTTTGTGGCTACTTAATTATGAAATAAATATCTCTAACTTTGTTTGACAGGAAACAGCAGTTGGAATCCCATGGTCTGAGTTTGATCAAAGAAAATGTGATGAATTCATTTGTGAAGCTGAGAACATTCCTCTCTCAGGCAAGGACTTTATTTTATGTTCTTGATTATCATGCTGCAGTATAATGGCATCAAGTTGGATATAGGTCTCAAAACAAAAGTTGCATGATTCCTTAAAGATTCATTTATCGCCTACTAATATATCGTTGAGTTTCTTTCATTCAACACATAAAATTCATGAGTTTGCAGCAGTTTTAGTATTCAAATTTATCCTTGTGATAAAAAAACCAAGATTTTTGTGTCACAGAAACACAACCTTAAAGTCTATATTGCCTAAATGTAACAGTACAATTTGAATTCAGCTTTCTCCCAATTCAACACCAACTTCACACTTGTACCCTTCCCCTGTTGCTATGATCAGTGAATTATTAGTCTGTTCACGTGTATTTCAGTGTTCACATCAGAATTAACTCTCTTGTATGCATACATACAAGCTAGAAACATTTTAGATAACTTGAATTGTTGTTAACAGATTAGTAGTTGTCTAGTATTCTTACTCTCATGTTTATTTAGGAATATATGAAACATTTGAGACCAGAAATTGGATGTTCAACTTTGCCTGATGGTAAAGAACATTATGCACAAGTTCTAAAATTTCATATTACATGTGATTTAACTCCACAACGTGTACATGATATTGGAATAGAGGAGGTCACCCGAATCAGGCAGAATATGGACAAGGTAGGAATGAATCTCTTAAATGCCTGATATAAATGATCAAAATATGGCCATGTTCAAAGTTACATTTCAAGTAACCCTGCTAACAGATGTCAAAGTCAACAAAGAACGCATTTTCTTGTTTCGCAATGCATTGTGAAAAAGTAAATGGAAGATAATGCTTTAATTACAGCAAATTGGAGAAATTTTTGGGAAAAAAATACTTTTTGGTCCAAAAAAGTGAGAATATGTGCAAAAAAAAAAAATTCTAATTTCCCCAAAAATATCAGTTGGTCGGGTTACCGGAGACACACAATTTTAATTGACGATTAAATCGTCGCAAAAGCCATGAAAGAAGCTTGCCATATTGGAAATCATGATACATACAGCAAATCATAATGTTTAGTAATGTATCTATCATGCCTAACATCCTGACATACATGCTCACAAATAGCAAGTATCCTGCAGACTTGCGGAGAGAGTAAATTCAGAATTGACTGAACTGTTGTTTGTAATAGGTTTCTTGCCAGATGTATTATGCTTTAATTGCAGGTTATAAAGAAAGTTGGATTTGAAGGGAATTTCAATGATTTCCTAGAATTTTTGAAATCAGATGAGCAGTTTTACTACAAAAATAAGGTGAGCCTAATTTTTCAGTAGATGGCCAGATTTAGAAAGTAATATGAATATAATAAATTGCAATTTGCCAAATATTTGAAAAAACAATATATACAATTAAATAAGAACAAGGAGTGTTTATTTCTGTAATAGATGTATTATTTTTAATAGTTATGCATAATTTAGTGTTTTTTTTACCATAATTTTTTATGTTTATTTTCCAGGACGAATTGATGGCTGGATATAGTGACATAGTCAACAATAAAATAAGACCTTTATTACCAAGACTCTTCCAGAACATACCACATTTAGCACTAGAGTGAGTATCAAAGATAGTGTCAATAAAGTCATATATTTAGTATTTTATGTATTATATCTTATTATTATATTTTATTGCTGTCCATCAATGGAAATTGTATTTCTGAAAATGCAATAAATATTTGTATTTATTATTAGTGTTTATTATAGGATGTATTAAAAAGGAATAATCTGTATATAATATGTCCATTAACATCAGTTGTGTTCAGTTTTAAGCTAATCTCGTATGTTTGCATATCAGATAGACCCAATTGCGTTGCAAGGGAGGAAACAGTGGTTAGCATGGGCTCAGGCATGCCAAACTTGTTAAGTGAACGCCACTATTAACACAAATAGTTCACCAAAAAGAATTATCGTCAAAACACAACAAGTTCTTGAAATTGAACTTTATGTTCATTGGATTCTCACATTACCAAAGTCTAACATCACCACCCTTTATTTCATAACTCTCATGACAATCATTGTCTCCTTCCCAAACACCAAGGTAATATCCTAGCTTTCTTTTAAAAACAATCGACAGGTACTAAACAATCCATGTCTATTTCAGTGAAGTTTACCAATTTCTAGTTCTTGTTCCCATAACTCTTGATGCTCTGTTTTTTTTATAGTAACCATTTCTTTTCCTCTGAGGAGTTGAGTTGAGTTAAGTGTTAAAATGAATTGGATGTTGTACATTTACTGTGTTTGTTAACTAGACTAAAAGCCACTCCTGAGAAAGAGAAGAACTCCCCAGCTGCCTATTATTATGCACCATCTGAAGATGGCAGTAGACCAGGAACATTCTATGTCAATTGTAACAATGTCACTAATCAGTAAGTATCAGTTTATTTAGTGTTTGCACTGTCTCTTCTCCAATATTATAATAACCATAATATTTTATTATATTTTTATTATGATTTTTTATTTGTAACCATTTTTCTTCCTTTGAGTTGAGTTAAGTGTTAATAAAGATTGGATATTGTACATTGTACATGTAACTTTAAAGCTATACAATCTTCTTAATTTGGTTATAATACCCGGTACAGTTAATTACATTATTGTGCATCACAGGACACCTTATCCTTCTAATTATAGTGCATTACAGGGCACCCTATCCTCTTAATTATAGTGCATCACAGGACACCTTATCCTTCTAATTATAGTGCATTACAGGGCACCCTATCCTCTTAATTATAGTGCATCACAGAACACCTTATCCTTCTAATTATAGTGCATTACATGACACCCTATCCTCCTAATTATAGTGCATTATAGACAAACATCCTATCCTTCTAATATCAGTGCATTACAGGACACCCTATCCTTCTAATTATAGTGCATTACAGGACACCCTATCCTTCTAATTATAGTGCATTACAGGACATCCTATCCTTCTAATATCAGTGCATTACAGGACATCCTATCCTTCTAATATCAGTGCATTACAGGACACCCTATCCTCCTAATTATAGTGCATTACAGGACACCCTATCCTCCTAATTATAGTGCATTACAGGACATCCTATCCTTCTAATATCAGTGCATTACAGGACATCCTATCCTTCTAATATCAGTGCATTACAGGACACCCTATCCTCCTAATTATAGTGCATTACAGGACACCCTATCCTCCTAATTATAGTGCATTACAGGACATCCTATCCTTCTAATATCAGTGCATTACAGGACATCCTATCCTTCTAATAACAGTGCATTACAGGACACCCTATCCTCCTAATTATAGTGCATTACAGGACACCCTATCCTTCTAATAACAGCGCATTACAGGACACCCTATCCTTCTAATTATAGTGCATTACAGGACATCCTATCCTTCTAATAACAGTGCATTACAGGACACCCTATCCTAATTATAGTGCATTACAGGACACCCTATCCTTCTAATTATAGTGCATTACAGGACATCCTATCCTTCTAATAACAGTGCATTACAGGACACCCTATCCTTCTAATTATAGTGCATTACAGGACATCCTATCCTTCTAATAACAGTGCATTACAGGACACCCTATCCTTCTAATTATAGTGCATTACAGGACATCCTATCCTTCTAATAACAGTGCATTACAGGACACCCTATCCTTCTAATTATAGTGCATTACAGGACATCCTATCCTTCTAATAACAGTGCATTACAGGACACCCTATCCTCCTAATTATAGTGCATTACAGGACACCCTATCCTTCTAATTATAGTGCATTACAGACATCCTAACCTTCTAATTATAGTGCATTACAGACATCCTATCCTTCTAATAACAGTGCATTACAGGACACCCTATCCTCCTAATTATAGTGCATTACAGACATCCTAACCTTCTAATAACAGTGCATTACAGGACACCCTATCCTTCTAATTATAGTGCACCACACATCACACAACTCCCTATTCTTCTAATTAATGTACTTCACAAGATACATTATCCTTTCAATCATAGTGTATTAGAAGACAACTTATCTACCTAATTGAATTGCATCACATGACACCCTATCTTAATCATAGAGCATCACAAGACACCTTATCCTACTAATTAAAGCGCATTAAAGACACAGAGTGCAACATAATAATGTAATACATGATCTCAATTTTTCAGGCCTATATTTGAAATGGTTGCTTTATGTCTGCATGAATGTGAACCAGGTCATCATTTTCACATATCTAGTGCTATATTAAGTACACTACCATCATGTTATCGACATAAAGACTTCACAAAGTGCTATGCTTGCCCTTCATCATTCTCTGTGTATAATGCCTGTGTTGAGGTATGAATTATTTTGAGGTTATAAACGGCATACTCAGGTATTCTGGGTGGAAGATATTAACCTTGCTTACGCTCGGTTATTATCTCCCGCCAAATATGCTAATTTTTCCCAGAAATGTCCTATATCCACTATCAAATACCAGAGTGTACTGTTTATAACCTGCTTGCACAAAAAATATGCTACAAAATAGCTACTTATATCACATTGCCATGTGTAAATTTCAAATTCTCCCAACATTTTTTAAAAACCATTTAATAATGTGACAATTCTGAAAATATACCGGTAATACCAGATTTTAACTGTGTTGCTTTAGATTATGATTTCCATAAACTTTTGGTTTTATTTGACAATGTGTAAACTGTTATTCTAATACATTTTAAGGGGGTCATAATTTACTATTAAGAATGTGCTCGTTCCTCACGGGAGTTATATATTAACATTTTTTGGCAATAATAATTTGTATTAATACTTGTACCAGGTTCCCCTTATTTCCATCCGTTGATCATACACCAACAATCACCATGAATAGTGCTTACAGTTGTGTGATTTTCATTCGGTTAGATATTTGAGCCAGTTTATTCAGTTTCGGGCCGGATCAGAGGTCTTCTAGTGCCAAATGACCTTGCTTCAGCCAATCACATGACTAGATTAAAACTAACTGTATATATCATCACTTAGACTTCAACATAGCAATAAATAGATGAATTTTTAGTTCCATATTCTTGTTGAATGACAGAGTGAAGGGAAGTGGGATGAGCAAGTTTTTACTGCATAATACAGCATGCCAATTTGCATCTCGTATACTGAGATCCAAATCCACCACAAAAAAATTGCATCCTGTTTCTAGCATTCATAATGTATTTATACAGCAATCATGCACATATACCTGCCCTTCAGCTGTTTGCATATCATGTGAAAACCAGGCAGTACTATTAAGGTGATGGCAGCATTGTTCATTCATATTCAACATTGCTAATTATATTACACAGAATAAAATATATGGTTCCATATATTGGCGTATCATTCAGCAGGACTTGAACTTCAGTGTTGAGAGGGTATCCATTTTGAAGGCAAAATTTGATAACATTATTTTAGCACATATGAATATTACAATGCAAATCTATATTTGTACAAGGGCACCAAGGCAAACCCTATTGGCTTCAAGGCAAGTTCAAGCCCTGATTCAGTGCTGGAGGCCAGGAATCCTGACATCTCCACATTAAAGTTACATTCTTACTGTAAGTGGTGCCTTCTACTGGTGAACTGGTTCTGTGATTTAAAAATTACGTAGCTTGGTGAAAGTGATGTGGTTAAAATGACAACTGTTTATGGTTGTAGTTTAAAATTTAAAACGCAAGTGTAGACTACTATTTAATTAATCTGTAAGCTTAACATTTTCACAACCAGACATCCCTGCCCAAATTTTTCTGCACTTTTTCTTATATTTTTCAATATTTCAGGAAATGAACCCTAATTTTGGAGCCAATTTTCAGTTTTTACTCAAACAATTTGGCTATTTTTGTCTCAATCTTCTGATGGAAAGTGCAGACTATAAACAGAGCTATTTTGCAAATTTGTGATCAAAAGAGGAAACAGGTGGTGAAACAGTTAAGGATGTCAATTTAGAAATTAGAATACAGACACTTGTAATCACTGAGCATCACATGACACCTAGCCTGAAAAGGTCGGGACACTCAGGCCTATATGTCAGGCTACTTGACACCCTATCTTTCTAATTGAAGTGCACTACAAGATTTTCTTGCTGATTATATTACATAACAAGATCCCCTATCATCCTAATCAAAGTGCATCAGAGGACACCTTATCTTCCTAATTATAGTGCATCACAGGACATGTTATCTTCCTCAATATAATGCTTCATATGACACCTAATTTTCCTAATTATAGTTCATTACAAGACACCTTATCTTCCTAATTATAATGCATTACAAGACTCCATATCCTCCTAATTATAGTGCATCATAAGACACCTTATCTTAGACCAAAGTATGAAATGATGGCATTGAGTTTACCTGTCTCTTTTTGTTAGACTGAAGTATGAAATGATCGCATTGAGTTTACCTGTCTCTTTGTCTTAGACCAAAGTATTTAATGATGGCATTGAGTTTACCTGTCTCTTTGTGTTAGACCAAAGTATGAAATGATGGCATTGAGTTTACCTGTCTCTTTGTGTTAGACCAAAGTATGAAATGATGGCATTGAGTTTACCTGTCTCTTTGTGTCAGACCAAAGTATGAAATGATGGCATTGAGTTTACCTGTCTCTTTGTGTTAGACCAAAGTATGAAATGATTGCATTGAGTTTACCTGTCTCTTTGCGTTAGACCAAAGTATGAAATGATTGCATTGAGTTTACCTGTCTCTTTGTGTTAGACCAAAGTATGAAATGATGGCATTGAGTTTACCTGTCTCTTTTTGTTAGACCAAAGTATGAAATGATGGCATTGAGTTTACCTGTCTCTTTTTGTTAGACCAAAGTATGAAATGATCGCATTGAGTTTACATGAAGGCGAACCAGGACATCATTTACAAGGTGCTTACAGTCTTGAGATGAGGGATATGCCAGGTTTTAGACGGTTCTTAGAAGATCGTCATTACTATGAACCACCCTCACGATTTGGTATGAACACTGCATTCATTGAGGTATGTTTTTTAAATGTACCATTGTTCATTGCATTGTTTGTGCTATAATTTGTTAGCAATTCACCAACTGTTTTTAGATTTTCTGTGAAATTTTTACTTGCATGAAACCAGTGTGACAAAATGGTGGTTCATGTGTTTTGCTGCATCTTGTTATGATACCATTTCTGATAATGTTACCAAATGTCACGGCTGTTGGTTTATTTTTTCAAATTCACACATGTCTCTAATATGCTAGCACTCCTGATGCAATTTACTTGACTCTGACCAACATTCTGGGTTTATAATTGCAAATCTACATTTCTCTTGGTGTTTCTAATATGCATTACATCTTTCTATAGTTCACTATTGTGATTGGCAATTGTAAATATAGGAATTAAATAAGAGCAGATTATCAAAAAACGACTAACTGTCAGAAACATTGCAGTATTTCACAGAAGTATGATCTGTAAAATACTGGGTTTCTATTACTAAGTTGGAGCAAGCAGACCAAGTGCAAGGCCCTGTTTTATAAACATTGCATTGTAATTTAAACATGTCAAGGACTGAGTTGGTGTAACCTTTTGAAAATTGTGGTTAACTGACACCTGTAAGCATAAAGGCTTTGCATTTTGTACAGCTTATGAGAAATCATATCCAACAGAATATTATAATCCAATTTAGACGAAAAATACAGAAAAGTGGCCCTGAATGATTACATAATTATACAATGTCCACATCAACTTTTTTATGCTGCTGTCAAGTATTGAGCACAGCTATCTTACCAGTTGTCCATCATTGGTGTCCGCTTCCATGTAAACTCTTGATATTTTCAACTTCTTCCTGAAATGTGTCAGGTCGATTGGGTTAAAAATTGATGTATAGAATGGAATAGAATATTTCCTCTTTAAAGGAAATTTGACAATTCTTTTTTGGTTTCTACACATGTAGAAGAGAACAAAGCTAAATTAATGAATAAAGATATATATGTACTTTGAAAATGAATATTTTGGTAAAAAGTATATTTTCAATATCTCTTCGAAAACCACAAGTTTGTCAATTTTGATAAACTTGTAAGTACTTTAGATGGATTATTTTGGATGGGTTAATTTGATTATTCCCTTTGTCAGATCATTATAATAGTGAATAGCAATATTGTTGTTTTCTTCAAAATACATGTAGCTAGACTGATTGATTTGGTATTTCTTTATCATTATGCATTTGAAACAACAGAGCTATTTCAGCCAACTAACTGCTTGTAATATTTTTCAAGTCAGTGGGAAGTGTTCTTCATATTATACAATGTGGGAATGAGCAGTAAAGCCTATACTGTTTTTGTATCATAAAAGTTTCTTCAGAATTAAGATAATGTTCTCACAACATTCCTGGTATTCCTTGAGCTGATGGTTAATTTTGATATGTTTCTCAATTTAAATTATAATTAACATCTGTAGCCACTATAGGTGCTGTGATAAGGAGTAACTCAATTTTATATTCTCAGGGCTGGGGGTTGTACAGTGAATATCTTGGTGAAGAATTGGGACTTTATGAAGACGATCCTTATTCACTGTAAATATACTCATTTTATAATTATAATAATAGTAAACAAGGATACCGCAAAGTATACAGGAAGACAGTACAATGTATCACTGGCATGCAGCGGAGGTTGATGCGACCACGTACTGTCTGTCTTTCTCTCAAGGATACATCATGCTATTTTTATGAATGAAATGTGCAAGTGAAATTTCAAATAAAGTACCCTTAGGGCTGCCATGTTTGTTTTTATTATTTGAGGACACTTGCACACGTATTTGTTCCCTATTTGGAATTAGCATTTCCTAATATGGTAGGATGCAAATACCCAGTACAATCCTGCAAAATTACGACACGCTGTAACTATGGCGTTATGGTGAATAACCTATAATTATAATAATAATTTTATTTAAGGCACTTCCAGTTTATTTCAATTTTTGCACAAATGTTAACATTTTATAACAATAATTCATATTGCCAGGCGACTATGTTCTGATCACTTACAATTATTGTCGCAATCAATGAATAATGCTCACAGCTGTATGATTCTCAATTTGAATTAATATTTAAGCCAATTTATTCAATTTTGAACAGAATCACATGTCTTTCAGTGACGTATACAAGACTTTGCACACCATATACTGCTAATATTTCCTACTCGATGTTCATTTAATACTTAGCACATCTACTGCTGAGAGCCTCCACAAATAGCCACAGATTGCTGATATTTATTGTAAACAACATATTAATATGAAAATATGACCTTGTAGGTTTGGTCGCTATTCGATGGAGATCCTGCGTGCATGTCGTCTGGTAGTGGACACTGGAATGCATTACATGGGGTGGAGTCGAGACAAGGCTGTGGATTACATGGATGAAAATACAGCAATGGCGAAACATAATGTTAGAACGGAAATTGATAGATACATTACATGGCCTGGGCAGGTGAATACTTTATATTGGCTATATATTTACTTGGTAGTTCTGAACATCAACTAACATACAAGTGTATGCACTTGCGTAAATGAAAGAGGTGTAATCAAGATAAGTCTTATGTTAGTAATTCAGTATACTATACATGCAACTGTTTACTTATATGCACTTTTAATAGTGAAATACAGTGTAGTTGCATCTATGCCAAACATTAAAAAAAAATTATGAAACCCAAATTTCAGATTTTCTAACAAAGCAATGAAAACAAACCAAACATTCCCAGCCTAATAATCTGTACAACAAATGCAACTTGAATGCAGCTGAAACGAAATTAAGCAGATTTAGCATTCTTGCATGAAAAAACCAACATCGACAGCAAACTTGCTAACGAATCGCCTGTGTTGATTCAAACTGGCGTTTGGAGATCATTATCAGATTAGGGCATCCCATTTTCAATTGGAGGTCAAGATACTTTTGATAGAAAGGCACAATCGGTATATGAATGAATTTTCCATAGTAATTGTTATAGTTGTTGTAATTGTATTACATTTAAAATAGCGCAAAACGAGAAATAATACGAAAATTGTGCATAAAGTAACGACTTCAGAGTGTGCCCCTCTCAGTAAATACCATTGCCTCCTTTTGAAAATGAAGTGGCTCAAAGTGTTTCAAATTGACAATGATTGCCAGACATCAACACAGGCGACTCGTTAGCAAGTTTGCTGACGATGATGGTAATTAGGTGTTCCTTTCATTCACGCATCCACAGTAACACATCACCTGCTAAAAGTCTCCTCATATAGTCAAAATGAGTGAAAGAAACGACGACAACAGGCAATGTGTTATCAATTTGCAATGGTTATTTGAAACCCTGGCAACCAATCATCATTGGTCTTTAAAGTTGGGCAACGAGTTCAGATAAGTTGTCATGAGGTGCACAAGATATTTTCATGCTAGAGAATAGAAAAATTGTTCAATTTCATTAACATTATTTTGTGATTTTGTTGCTGTTTGTGAATAATATTAACAATATTTTTTAATTGTGTTTTTCAAGATACCTGTCTATATATAAGCATTTACATAAGTTTGTTGTTATAGTTTGGGTTTTAATATTTTTCTTTAAGGCTTGTGCCTATAAAATTGGTGAACTGAAAATCAAAGAATTGAGAGAAAAAGCTCAAAAAGAACTTGGTAAGTTTATATTTAAATATATTTCACTTACATGTACTATGCTATCTCTGTCATTAATACTTTTTTAGTAAGTGTAGTATATTAAGATGTTTTCAAAAAAATTACTAAAAATTTTAAAATGTATTTAGAAAATGTTTGCCATTTATTTTTATTACATATACTAACACTTGAAAAAAATCAAGAGAGCATCCATATCTATAATGATTATTATATTATTCAGTTGATATTGCATTGGAACAAAATTACTGAGATGTGTTTTCTGCTGAAATGACATTGAATCACATAATGACATTTTTCTTGCAGAATTACAGTGAATACACTTTTATTAATTTGATATTTTGTCCACACAGGTGAGAGATTTGATGTGCGAGATTTTCATGAGGCATTTCTCAGTTGTGGATTTGTATCAATAAGTGTACTGGAACAGGTCATTGATGACTATATCAAGAAAACTAAAGAATAAAACGTCTCCAAGCATTTCTCCTTTCAATCAACTGTTGTCATCATTCACAATATAAAACCACATGATTTGTTTTTCAATAATTGTATTCAAGATGAGAATTATGCTGTATGGTTCAAAATGAACCAAGAATTAATAGTAAAATACAAAAAATGTACGAAATGTCACTCTAAAATTGTTTGAATTTATCTATGGGAAACATACCAATTTTTCTTACAGTCATACATTGAATTAAAATCTATTGTAGGTATGGTATAACTATGTTATTTACCTATTCGTAATCATAATGTTACAATCATCAATTCATAAATAGATGAAATATATATTCTATCCTGATATCCTGTATTACACGTATATTATTATACCTGTCTATTTTTGAGCTATGAAAACAAATAAAAATAGTAATCAGTACAAATTTGTGTGTTTCTGGCTATGTAACTGTAATGTTTTTGCTTGGGGTGGGGAGTTGCGTTGTGTTTTGTTTTAGATATTCCTTTTTGACTCCCATGTGCGAAGCACAAAATGGGAGTCTTTGCAGTTAGTGTGTCTGTATGTGTGTATGTGTGTATGTGTGTGTGTATGTGTGTCCGACTGTTCCACTGCTATCTCAAGAACCATACATCGGTTTTTGATGAAACTTGATGCATAGATGCTCTGGGCCAATGCGCAGATTTGATTAGGTTTTGGTAAAAATCCATGCTCGTTAATTACCTAATTTGCATGATAATTAGCTAATTTTTAGCTGTTCTATGACTGTTCCACTGATATCTAAAGAACCACTCATTGGATTTTGATGAAACTTGGTACATAGATGCTCTGAACATATGCGCAGATTTGATTAATTTTTGGTAAAAATCCGTGCATATTAATTACCTAATTTACATGATAATTAGCTATTTTTTAGTGGTTCCATGACTGTTCCACTGAT